ATGGGGAAATGCAAGTTTGCGTCCAAATGGTTGGAAGATAAGGAGGAAGGACAATCAATACTGTATATAGCAGTGGCGAGCCGTCAGGGCCCTCTAGGCCCTCTGTGAGGGCCTAAGATATTCCAAAAAATAATATTTAAAAACATTAAAAAAAAATATATTTTTTTTAAATATATATTTTTTTAATATTATTTTTGTTATATTTTTCATTAGTTTTACCGAAAAAAAACTTGATTTAATAAAATAACATTTCCAAAGAAATAAATCCTTCGAATCTGCCTGTTCAGTCTCTGTTTGAATGTCAGTTACTATAGCGGGCCTCTCTGCGATTCACAGAGGGCCCGCTATAGTAACTGAACGAGAGAGTAATGTCAAATGACAGTACAATTGACCAATCATATCTTCCCTCTAAATGGGTGGGTTTTATTATCGCGGACTTTATGACGAGTTCCGCCCGCTGTGAAACTTTTCTTGTTTCCATAGCAACAACAACTTCCTGTCAACAGCGTGAACTCGCCTTCAAAATAAAAGCATGCCAAATTACACTTAAGACATACAACTGCAATGAAAGTAACAAACACAATGCAATATCATTTTCAATGTCAAAGAACACAAATTGGGTTCACAGGTGTTGTTTTGTGTGACAGAGGGTCGCTGTCATTGATGCGTTTTGCACCCTGGGCCGTTGTTTTGATATTCCGCTGAAGTATACGCTGTGACGTAATAACGTCTTTTTTTCGAAGGAAGGGGTGGGGGTCAGAGGGCCTAGGTATAAAGCTCACGGCTCGCCACTGGTATATAGTAAATGTGAGGTAAAGTGTGTCGCCAATGTAACCGGTTAGAACTCAAAGTGGCGATGAGGTCTTAAAATGTATGGAAAGGGTCTTAAAAGGTAGTACATTTGACTTCAGGATTCCTGCATATACCCTGGTTAGAGGAAAAATAATCTAATATTGACCCAAAAATGCATTTCAGCATCAAATATGGAGGGTTTTTTTTTGTCCGTAAGATATAATATTTAGGTGAATATTTACTAGAACTTATAACATGGAGATTTTTTACAATTCTTTTTACTTTCTATCAGTGGTTGGCAAGTAACTTAATCAAGTATAATACTTATAGACACATATTTGTACACAACTTTTACCATTTATGCCACTTTATACTTCTACTCAACTACATTTCTGAGGCAAATGTGGTACTTTTTACTACATTTATTTTAACTCGGTACATACAAACACATGGTATGCTTATATGGTATAATGCAGTACTAGTAAAGTATCTACATTTGGTTGACATTGACTAATTTAAATACTAAAATGCTAATGCACGTGTAAAAACAGGATAATAAAATAACCAAAAATCTATTCTGTAAAAGAGTACTTTTAATTGTGATTCTTGAAGTACATTTAGCTGATAATACTTCTGAACTCATTATATTGAAATATTCCTTTATGTAGAATGAGTCCTTTTTGTACTTTTAAGTATATTTTCGATGCTTGTACTTTTGTACTTGAAATCAGGACTTAGAGTATGTTAAGACCATAATATTTGTACTTAAGTAAAGAATATGAGTACTTCTTCCAATACTGCTTTCTATAGACCGGTTGATTCAGAAAATATGAGAGATTAATCAATAATGAAAATAATGTTTGGTTGCTGCCCAAAGAGATACACCTGTTTTCAATGAAAGAAAGCATCACCGAAAACTTGAGCCATTTAATTTCTTGGAATGATTTCTTCCTCCTGATTATAAACGAAACATGTTCAGTCTGTTTAAAGCTCTTAGAAAAAAAGAGACAACTAAGCCTTTGATTTGTGGAACTTACAAACTGGAGCTGCAAAGCTTAGTCTAATAGAGGAAAAATAAAAATGTTGACCCAAAAAATGCATTTCAGCATCAAATATGGACATTTTTTTTGTCACTAAGATATTAAGTGAACATTTTTTATTTACTCAAGTATAATACTTCTATACATATTTGTACACGACTATTACCATTTCATGCCACGTTATACTCAACTACATTTCAGAGGCAAATATGGTACTTTTTACTAAAAATGCTTTAAAGGTCCCATGTCATGGCCATTTCTACTGATCATAATTCCGTTGAGGTCTACTAGAATATATTTATACTGTGCAATTTTCCAAAATCACATTGGTTTCTCATACAGCATCTCTGTAAAGTATGTGTATTCACTCTCTGTCCTAAACGGCTTGTTGGAGCTCCTGCCCCCCCCCCTCCCTGTGAGCCCAGTGTGCTCTGATTGGTCGGGACGTTGTGAAGTGAGCTGGCTTACTGGTGTGGTTTCCGGGTCGGCGATACAGCGGGATAGCGCGAAACTCATCCTGAGCACACACAAACACTCACAGCCGAAGTAAAAACAATAAGTGTGGCTTGATATTGAGTAAGAAAAAGGTTTATAAACGCTGTGAGAATGGGTCTGCGGAGAGCATTTCTCCGCGATCCCAACTCATCTATTACCAACCAGGGAGCTCTATGCAAGTCAATGGGACTCCCTGTTAGTTGAACATTTACGCTAAAGGTCCTGGTGTGTGAGGAGCTCCGCGGATTGGTCCATTTTGGAAATGCATGACGTCATGCGGTTCCCGGAAGAAACAAATGGAAAAAGAGAAATGTCCAACGAGGCGTTCTGGGGCAGCATAGACAGGTATTTTCTGTGTTAGAGTTTTACTCGCTACAGGGTGTACTTTGAGGGTTTGTGACTCTGCAGACCGTTTACATGCATAAAAACCTTCATAACACACAAGGGGACGGGTAATAACCAGAAAAGCATGACATGGGACCTTTAACACTCATTTAAACACATGGTATGCTTATATGGCATAATGCAGTACTAGTAAAGTATATACATTTGGTCGACATTGACTAATTTAAATACTAAAATATCAAAAAATGTATAAGAACAGGATAATACAATTACCAAAAATCTATTCTGCATAAAGAGTACTTGTACTTTTGATACCTGATGTAAATGTAGCTGATAATACTTCTGATCTCATTATATTGAAATATTCCATTATGTAGAATGAGTACTTTTACCTTTGGTGCTTAAAGTGTATTTTGATGCTAAATACTTTTGTACTTGAAATCAGGACTTTTACTTGTAATGGAGAATTTTAGACCATAGTAGCCTATTTGTACTCAAGAAATGGATATCAGTACTTCTTCTAACACTGCTTTCTAGTATAGACCAATTGATTTAGAAAATATTGGACAGAAAATCATTAATGAAAATAATTGTTGGTTGCAGCCCAAAGAGATAATGTTTCACCTGTTTTCCATAAAATACCGGTAATCAGCATCACTGAAAACTTGAGCCATTTAATTTCTTAGAATGATTTCTTCATCCTGATTATAAACGAAACATGTTCAGTCTGTTAAACTTTAGAGTACAGTCTCCATGCTGTGTTGAACTCACACAGATCCAGGATCAGTGTGTGTGCTGCAGTGTCCCTGCACTCATTATGGAAATGGAGAAAGTTGAAGGCTGAGTGTAAGGCCGACGTCTCATTTACAACCACCGGGTTTATATCGATCAGACTGAAACAACAGTCTCTCTCTCTGAAACATGCAACAATAAATTGAGGTCGTAAATCTCACAGAAACCCTGGGGATTCAGACGGAGGAAGGTGAAGAGGACGAGGTCAAGGACTGTTTAAACTTCTGCTCCATGTTCAAGAGAAGGTAAGGGGGGGGGGGGGGGTTGAGAGAAGTGCAGGTTTTTTTTTGCCTGTTTTCTCTTGTCTCTCAGTCATAACCAATTCATTAAATACACTTTCTACAGCTATACAAGAGAAGCACTTAAATTAAAGTGGCCCTATTATGCGTATCCCTTTCCTGTTGTGTGTCGTATATGTTTTTGTGCATGTAAAAGGTCTACGAAGGCTAAAATCCCTGTGTTTCCCCCTGCGTAACACTTGCGCTTCTATTGGCTAGCGCTCCAACACATTGTACGTGATAGGCTAAGGGGCGGGACATCTCAATCACAACACATTTACATACACAGAAATGTCAATTTTTAGATACAAAAAGATGGTGCCTTGTGGTTACCCTAGTGACTAATACAATTTAAAATGTATGGACTGCACCTTTCAAAGTTTAGTGTCCTTGAAAAACGTTGATAGGTAATTAGTTACCTAACACCTCTGTGAACACACTGCAGGATTACAAGAAGCATTAAATCAAATTCGGGACTCAGTGTACCCGAGGGAAAATCCACCCAAAAACAGAATAACCAACACAACACGTGTCTTTGTCCTGATTACTGCCCATAAAATGATGCAGACCCCTTCATGTTAAAATACATGTTTATTCTTATTTTATGATTATGTTTTATGACAAGTTCTTTAACCACCCAAGTGAATGAAGGTTATGACCTTTAGGATTGCAGGATCTGTGTCCTTGCTGCTTTTTGGGAACTGTTTTATGATCTTGTATTTCTATTTATAGTTTTTTTTTTTGGCTCCATCTGCATTATTCAGCTATTCCTAGACTTGGAGTGCATCCATCCCCTGTTGGTGTATTACCGCGTGTTATCTCCGGGAAGCAGCTAATCTTATGGCAAAGCTGATGAGGCTTTTCTCCTCTTCCTCCTCATCCTCATCCTCCTCCTCCTCCTCTTCCTCCATCTTCTCCACCTTGAGTCTGACTCCAAGGAGAGGTTATGGATGATGAGACTCTTAAATGAGGAGGGTGCAGACTGGCTCCCCTGATATTATGCACTAGAAAGAGAGAGTGTGTGTGTGTGTGTGTGTGTGTGTGTGTGTGTGTGTGTGTGTGTGTGTGTGTGTGTGTGTGTGTGTGGTGGGTTGGTGTCGTCAGCTATCATCGTCACTATGACTCGGAGGCAGAAGAGAGGCGAGACCCCTCCCCTTCTCCCCCTGCCTACCCCCTCAGCCTCCACAGCATCAGGCAGTCTGCTCTCAGTCATTCTGCCTGCGCACCGCTCAGGCTCCACATCCTCTCTCTCTCTCTATTTCAAAAGCCTCTCTCTCTCTCTCACACACACACACACACACACACACACACACACACACTTCTCTCTGCAGCTACTTGAACTCTGAGGAAACAGGAGTAAAATTCACACAAGAAGAAGCAGAAGAGGAACCAAAGAGGATGGGGATGTGCCGCCGTCCTCCCCAGATGATCCAAAGCTCCACAGCTCCTCCACTCCTCTTCCTGCTCTTCCTCCTGGGCAGCAGCAGCAGCAGCGTCCTCCCCTCTGCCTTCCAGCTGGCCCCGGACACCCCGGCCCCGGCGCAACCCACCCCCACGCAGGCCACTCCTCGCCCGGACCCCTGTGAGGGACGACCCTGCCTCAACGCGGGAGTCTGCCTGGCCCTGCTGGAGGACACCTGGGAGTACAAGTGCACCTGCAGCAGGGGCTTCACCGGGCGCAACTGTGAGGTACGGACCACTCAGACTATACTGTCATCTACCTGAGTGTGTACTGAGCAGTGTGTGTGTGTGTGTGTGTGTGTGTGTGTGTGTGTGAGGGTTTCTGAAATGACTTTATGAGGCATATTAGAATCACAAGCATCGATACACTGTGTCAAACCTGCATCCTATCAGTGCTTTCTTTGCAAGTTGAGCCAAATCCTGCAACCTTCAAAGTCAACCTTTCCAATCTTTTAGTGTGCCTGGATTAATAGTGAGCTGTGTGTGTGTGTGTGTGTGTGTGTGTGTGTGTGTGTGTGTGTGTGTGTGTGTGTGTGTGTGTGTGTGTGTGTGTGTTAACCCTGCATCCTATCAGTGTTTTGATTAGCATGTGAGCCCCTACAGTAGATGGCGGTGTGTGTGTGTGTGTGTGTGTGTGTTTGCTCCTCGCTGTTCCTCCGATGTTTTTTTAATGGGAGCATGTGCTGTCACCGAGACACGGAGACGAGTGCTGCGTTGCTGTGGCAACAGGAGGAAAGAGAGAGGCAGCAGCGAGAGTGTGAACTGTAGATCTATACGTGTGTGTGTGTGTGTGTGTGTGTGTGTGAATATGGCGTAATGTGGAGTATTTTTGGATGTAAAGCTTATCTACCATACGGCGCACACAGTAAATCCACAGGTAGAGTTATAAATACATTCCTATGTTGCACCATACTTTAAATGTGAGATAAAAATCTATTAACATCTGGCCAAAAGGAGTCTTCACACTGCATTCATTAACTGGAACATCTGAACACTCATTAATGAGCTTTTTTGTTTCACAACATCTCCTACAGTATTTGTAAAGTTGTCTATGTCCGCCTGCTTTGGTACGCACTGAGCAATGTCACCGGTCTCTTTGAACACCCTTCAGCGCTGAAGAAGTATTTCATTAAATTCAAAATGGCTTTTTTTTTAATGCTTTTTCGACTGATTCTCATGGTTTTATTTTGACTTTGTTGATGAAATAATGTAATAATGGTGATGGATAAACCACGATTGACAGATCTAAGATGCATTCAACGCGTCCAGGTTTTCTGCTCAGTGTCCTTTCAGGATAAGAGACCCAAAAATGTCCAGCATTGTCCCAGAACAAATGCAGGAATATGAATGTTAGTGAAAGATTATACTTCTTTCTATCAGTAAGAAATGATTTGAGCAGGTACAACAAGGATGTATCTGCTTTTACACGACCATGAAGTGGACATCTTCTTACTGCATCATTTTTCATCTACTCAAGGACATTTTAAGTTGTCCACCATGCACTTATCTCAACATTAACCAGCATTAACCATGTACTGTGGCTAAGCTGGCAGCGAGTCCTCTGAGTCATGCGTCCCCGGTGCAGAGAGGATAAATGAGTCTGCTGCAGCATCAGGAGGGAAAGGCAAGGTGACCGGGTGAACTTTAGCAAAATCACCAACAGGTGGCAGCCATACCCCCCCTTGTGTTTACATCTGGCTATGCATACAGTATGTCTGCTTGTCTTTGTGTATGCATGCCAGTATATGAGACATATTTGCTGCTGGTGTGCAGGATTGAAACCGATCCAGGGCCGATCAGACTTGGCCGTCCTGGTTTCAGAATAGAAAGCAGCTGCAGCTTGTTACCTCTGCTGCTGCTGCTTCACTGCTCCAACAAACCACAGAGGACAGTGTTGCCACCCAACCTGAGCTGAGGCTGGACTAAACATGCATCTCATTTTCATATTTTTCATGCAAAAGCTACACTTTTTCCTCTTCTGCTGCCACACTACCCCGCGTTATCTCTTATGCAGCAAACATCGGGTCCAAGCACAGACCCCGAGCCAGGCCTGAGGGGGAATCATTGATTTTTTTTGCCTCTCTCCCCTCAACGCTGGATGTTTCTTCTCCATGGAAACTGGAGCAGCAGTCAATTGAGATTTTGGTGAATGACCTGATTGGCTGAGCGCAGTGCTGGTTTGCATCCCTCTGTCCTCTGCATGCGTCACTACACAGATGGTCCAGTGAGAGAGGAGATGGAAGAAAGAGATAGGAAGGAACGGAGGAGGACAGCAGATTGGGAAAAGAGAGGCGTTAGGAACATAAAACTATTGATCTCTTCTTGAAAAGAGTAGAGTCCTAGTTTCGCAGCTTAGTGAAGAAATCCTGTTGTGTCACCCTCCTCCCTCACCGACTTAATCGTATTTTATTTCAAACTTGGGGCGCAGGATTAGAGCAGAAAACAATCTGTAAACTTGTATGGTATGTTTTATTAAACCAGCCATGCCTGTTGATTTCAGGATATATACTGCAACATTTTTCAAATCCGTTAAAAGCTTTGTGACAAACCCCCCCTGGCTGTGTTTTATTCTGCAGGAGCAGCGGGGGGAAACAAACCCAATTTATTCGCTAAACTGGCTGATTTTAATATCAGCCAGCACCTTTTCTGGACGCCAGCCTGTAAGCTGTCCTATTGGAATTCACTACCACTGGCCTTTCTCTGAGTTATTAGCTTTTCTGCCTCTGGCTTATTCATTATTGAAAGGCCTGTTGTGCGCCCTGATGGATTTGGTAACTTGCTCTCCAACACAATAGAGCTGTGGCAGCGCAACACAGCCATCTGTCATGCAGCTAGACCAGGGACTTGGTGCTGCTCGGCTCCTGTTAAAGCAACGGAAAGCAGGCTGGATTTAAGTTTACAGCCTCAGCATTATGAGGACTGAATGTACTTTAAATGTGCAGTTATTTGGAGAGGTGATGTGGGACTGAAGGTGGTGGAAGAGGTGATATCTCTGAGGAAGTACAAAAGTAATTAAGTGGTTTCTGCAGCCGATAGCTCTGCCTCATCTTAGTGAGCTCACACAGAGATGTTTTTGACTTAATGATGATTTTTAGATCCCTCCTCATCACCTTATTTCTTTCCACACCTGCAGGTGATTTCTCACTAACAGGTTCCTCTGTTTTATCTCTGGTTTATTAGCATCTTTTCAGGCATCTTACTGTCATTTTTTTTAAATGTTTCACCTTTTCCTCCAACCACAGGTGAAGAAGTACTGAGATCTAAATAAAAAAAACACTCTGTTATAATTAAATGTCCTGCATTCAAAATCTTAAGTAAAAGTACAAAAGTATTAGCATCAAAACGTATCAAAAGTCAAATTACTTGTTATTTAATAGTTAATAATGATTATTGATGCATTAATGTTTTTATAATAGCTGGTAAAAGGGAAGATATGTTTACCTAATTATATACTGCTCTGCTGATAGATACAGTATATTTGACTATAGCCTATAATTATAAGCAGTGTCGAACTCAGATCCTTTACTGAAGTAAAAGTACACATACTATGGTCTTAACATACTCCACTACAAGTAAAAGTGCGGATTTTATAATTTCACTTAGTACAAAAGTATTAGCATAAAAATATACTTAATGTACTAAAAGTAAAAGTACTCAATATCCTGTTTTTTTACATTTATTTTAGTACTGTATTATGTCAATGAGGATCACATTTAGATACTTGAAATACTTTGTAGATTACCTGTGACTGCATTATACCATATCATCACATCATGTGTTTTTATATGTACAAAGTAACTGCTAACTGTACCTCAGAGTTGTAATTAAGTACATTACTTGAGTAAATGTACTTACTTTCCACCACTGGTAAGAACACGTGAGGATTAGTTCAATAAAGCCGGTTTATTTTCCACAATATCGAAATACTCCTTCAAACTCTGCACCTAAATTTGGTTCAAAGTATGTTCAAATCCTCTGGCATAATGACTATCTTCTCTAACATAGAGAACATACACACATTACCATACATTAAAAATAGAAGAAACCTCTGAAGTTGAGGTCGCAGTATCTCTGCTTTCTTTCTCGTCCTCATCAATACAGTCTGTATCTGGCCACGCCCCCCCTCTGCACCTGCTGAGGTGAGCGTGCGCATCATGGCGAGTTTAGACCTCCTACCTTTTTATTTTGTATTTTACCTTATTTTTCTACCTCACCGTAGAGATTCAGTCAAACTACTTCACTCAAAATGAGAAGACTGTTGTTGTTCACCAAACTCGGCAACTAGCAGCCTGGTAAGTGCAGTTAGCATCTTTTGTTGTTTAGCTTGTTAGCTTTCAACTGGCAGTGGTTGACATTAAGGCTTCACTGTTTTGTGATAAGTTTTTTTGTTTTTTTTGTAGAAAGTTTAAGGAAGCTGAAGCGTCAGGTTTTCGTCCAAAATCTGCACAGCACCATGTTTAGCCTGTAATGACTTTCCCTATGCTAATGCAGCTCTTGCTCGGCAGGAGGCTTTGCTGCATGTGTTGTGTTTAAAGACAGGTGTGTGTCAGAATTTGCCTTGATATCCTAAGAGTTTGGGAACAAGAGGACCCTTGAAGGTTTTGAAAATAGACAAAAATAGACATGGGATATTAAAAATGATAACATATATTGTTTTGTGCAATAATAGAAATTACACATCTTAAAATTGTATTTTTTAATTAATGTTAGTACAAATGCTATGTTCTGCTGTATGAGTGTGTCCTGCTGTTGTGTCATTTCTGTATGAGTGTGTTGTAATTCAAACTATGTCATGTTGTTCCTTGAACTTTAGGTAACTAGGTCTTGAAAGCATTTGACAAGTCCTTCAATTTAAAGCTTAAAAAGGTGTGTCAACCCTAATTTGTATTTAGACAGTTGAAGTCTGCGTGATGCGTCCGATTTTGAGTCATCTCCCACTGGAAACATGTAGAAGCCCTCAATAATGAAACAGTATAGTCAGTGTAGTCATTTATAATACATTAACATAAGAAAAACAAATGTTTGAGTTGGAGGCTGTCTTTAATCTTGTCTTTATACTGTATGTCAGATATGTGCCATGTGCAGACTTTGAGACCCCAGGAACTCTGACTTGTTCCTTCGTGCAGTTTCACATGTTTTATGAATTTGGATGAAGCTGCAGTATGCTGACATCGCTGCACCGCCTTGTGCACTTAAGCCAACTTCTAAAAATAGCTTGTTTCACATTG